GTGTAACTCATGATTGGCTTTCATTGACAATGCTAATTCATATAGTTACTTTCTAGACCTTTTTTCTCATTCTAATAGTTTAAACTTTTATATAAAATGGATAACATCGTATCATAGTAAAAAAACTAGGTTCCAGTCAACACCAGCCATTTCAGAAAAAATTATCTCCAGACCTTTATAATAATCACAATATCACATGATGGGGTCTGTTTAAAAAAACATTTAATTAAGTAATGTGCTTCTTTTCTAACCGCTTAAACTATTAGATGAGATGGTTAACATTTTTCTTCTTAATTTTTTAAATATTCCATGAGATATGGTGAGGATAGGACAGTTCCTACCTGCCATAGTTTGGCTTCAACCCCTTCAACAGATGCAGCCCCTTTCTTTATCTCTTCTGCTAGTTTCTCTACATGTCCATACATGGAATAGTACCTATAAAAAAGCACAGTTAGATCCAAGATATCATTCATGTTACAAAAGATGAAAAAAATACAAATATTTTGCTTGATTTTAGTAATATCTCACCCAGGCAAGCACAAAATCAACAGATGTACACAATCCCATACTCATTCATCAGGGAAAAAAAATAAAAAATAAAAAATAAAAACTATATATCTTGATTTCTTAGAGAAACGTTATTTGGAAAAAGAATCATGAGCTTATTATCAGCATGATTTCAGAGCAAATAGATTGTTTTAAATAGTGTAGTACCCTGTGACTGTGCCAATAAGGACCTATGTTCAATCCTCTTAAAGTCAATATTAGATTATCACACAATTTCCCTGAGTAATTCCATGAACAGGTTGATGCATTATTCAACAACAGGAGATGTGGAAAAGCAAGACAATCATTCCTTAATGGACTTCAAGTTATATTCCTGAAGTTTTAACCTGAGTCTAACGCAAATAGGTTCTTTACCACTTTGGAAATCCATGGCAAAAGACAGTTTTGATAAAAAGGAAGGGGAAAATAATGAAGACAATTTGATGCACCAAGGTGTTCCGGGGAATTAAGAAATAAAGATGAAAATTACACATGTTCCCTTTCATTGATGAAACATGGCTACGAGACCTTTTAGACGTGAACTCAATCGATTGTGATGTGTTGCTCGAATATCAATTACTACGTGCAAAAATTCTACAGCAAAGAGCTATCAACTGCTTTATCAAAGTCAAGCTTCTGTAACTTTAATTCAAATAACACCTCTACATCACCTGGTGAGATCCAAATTCATACAAATTGTATAATCGTGTAACTTTTTTCCCACAGAGTAATGCTCAACTATGCTGCTTGGCAGAGCAACTTATATTTTTACAAACATTGATGACTAAAACTGTTATGATCACACAATCATAACATTGATCAATTCGTTTGGGACCTTGGTTGTTCATATTTCTGTTATAATCTCTAGGGAAGCTATTACTGCATCCAAAGGATTTTTCATCAAGCCAAAAGAAATTAAGTTTAATTCTATTTTACCCTCTTTCCTTTAATCAATCAATAACTAACAATCAACTTGGGCACTCACAGGAAAAAGAAGCTTACAGAATCAAGAATCACTAATGAATATTCAACAATAAGCACGAGCATGAAGAAACACTTGATCAGGTACAGATCCGAAATTCACATAGAAAATCAAAAATACCAAAAAACAAAGAGAACCCATAAATTACTCAATTATTTCATCAGCACAAACACAATTCAACGTCAAACTGTAAATCCGATTCAAGAAACAAAATCAAAATATACAAAGAATAAAAATTTGTCAGCGAAACATCTCACTTACACAATGTAAACTTTGATGGCCATTGATTAAGTGCGTTCCTTTTTCTCAAAAGTGGGTAAAAATGCGTTTGAAAAAGTGATAATTGACATTGAGCTTCTGAGCTGGGCTCCCTATTTTATACTAGCGCACGAATTCCCCAGGTTGGTTAAGTTTCAAACAGTATTCTATATTAATTAATTTAAATCTAAATTGTTTTTGGATTAAAAATACTGAGCAGCTGATATGTGTACCTAGTTAATGATGACTGAGTTGTTGTCACGCTCACGCTCACCGTCAGTCATCATTTTTCTTTAACTAATTTTTTGCATGTTTGACCAAGCCAAAAAGGTTAAAAATAAGTCACTTATCTTTGATTATGTGAAAATAACTTTTTTTCCCCTTAAATTTAAGTAAAAAGTTATTTTTGAATCGTAACTCTTGTGAAGCCTTTTAGCAATAAATATATTATTTACTATAAAACGGGTAATTTCTTTCATGAGTTTCAAACCTTTTTTAAGTGATGTTAGATTGTTTATAACATTCATATCCCAATCTTTATCGATTATTTTCACCTAACGGAAAATATTTATTTAGACATTAAATAGCTGTCATCGAACATGTAATAACTAAAAGTAAAATATCTAAAAATAAAAAATTCCTACAATTTACATACTAGCTGATAGTAAAAACAAACAGTTTGACAACAATAGAAGGAATCAAATTATCACGGTTGTATTCAAATTAAAGTAAGTAATTTGTACAATTATACGTTTTTAGCTGATGTTACGTGCATGTCGCGAGATCATTTAACATCTAAATGTTTTCCATCAGGTCAAGTTAGATCTCAATACTGCATTCACAATGTTAAATGGATTGAGACCAATTATCACGATTGTATTCAAATTAAAGTAAGTAATTTGTACAATTATACGTTTTTAGCTGATGTTACGTGCATGTTGCGAGATCATTTAACATCTAAATCTTTTCCATCTGGTCAAGTTAGATCTCAATATTGCATTCACAATGTTAAATGGATTGAGACACAAGTGTTACTAAAGAAAGGTTGGGAACATATTTGTTGCACTTACGAAAAGTTGAAACTTCCAAATGAATTTACCCTTATAAAGATTTATATTTACCTAAGAGTAATTTTACTTAATAATAACCTTGTTAATCTTAACCAAATGTGCTTAAACTTATAAGTAAATTTTTTTTTTTTTTTTTTTTATAATATCAATGTCAACCTTCTTAGCTATTTATGGTACTTAAAATTAGACCATCCGAACCACGACTAGATTACAACTTTTGTTCCTTATAAGACTAAAAACGAGATTACTCAAACCACAAGAAAACTACAACTTTTATCCCACATTTGAATTGATCTATTATTTCTTTGTTTTCGTCATGTTCGACTTAGAGCATTTCTCTCAATGCTATAAATATTTGCATTCCACATTGAATATTAGTGACTTTATTAGGAGTTATAATGATGATCTATCACTATTGCTCTGAATTAATTCCTTCTGATTTCAGTTTACACTAGCATTTTTTAGGGATCTAATCTGAACAAAATTACTAGGTTAGAAATTATATTGTCTATTATCTCTTAAAATTCAAGACTGTAATCATGTAATGCTTTGCCTCAAATTTTGGCATTCAAAAAAGGCCCCACCAAGAAAATGATCACAATTTGGCTTTCGTTTCAAGAATCCAACTCCAACCCATCATTTCGGACCCGTTTGGCAAAATTTTCGCTTTTACTTTTGTTTCTTATAGAAAAACTTTCTGTGGAAGCTATCTTAACTAGAGTCTTCTAAAAGCTCATCTAACTAAAAAATTATTAAAATAGGTCCAATAACAAATATTTTCAACGATATTGGTAAGTAAATGTAGCATGTTATAGACAATAGAGTAGTCAATTGAAGTTTCATGTTTCTACCAAGTTATAATCTCGTTTCATCGAGCTTTTTGAGGGTCCCATGAAATGCGTGGTTACAAATGAATAAAAGTTGTGGATCTAATAAAATATGTGATTAAAAGTAAACTTTGAACAACTTAAAATCTAAAAAAATAAAATAAATAAATAATAATAAATAAAAAAGCTTTACCAAGCAATAGCTAAATTCCTGCATCGTATATTTAGGCCTCATTTAACAAAATTAAAAAAAAAAAGTCAAAAGCCTTTCAAAGACTAAGAAGTTGCTTTTAAATCTATTTGAATAATTTATTGAAAGTCCGTCATTTGGTTAAAGAAAACTGAGGTAAGAGAGTTTCCTCAAAAAGTTCTTTCTACAAGTAGAAGGAAGAGCAAAAACTCTACCAAACGAACCCTTAATCTATATCTAAAAGTGAATCCAAGGTTTGCTAAGAAAATTCTAAGTTAATTAGAACTTTTATAAAGCAAAAATAAGGATTAAAAATTGTTCTTAAAACTATGAAATATGTTCCTACCATGTAAGCATTGACGTCAGCTAAGCAAAATTGAGGTAATCAACCCACTGATGATAAAATTATGATTCAATGCACATTATATTGTGCCTATTTAGCCACTCAAATGACAGTCAATCAGAAACTAATATATAAGAGTAGGGCTGTTTGGACAGCAGCCCCCTCCAATAGAGGGGCGTCACTTGGCCCCCCGAACTTGAGCATGGATTTGGCCCTGACCATTTAGTTTTATTGAATATATAATAGGGTTTCAGTTAACAAATAGCAAAATCTTTATAATAAAGCTGAATTGCAGGCAAAGTATTTGACGTTTTATTCGATCATAATTTGATCCATCGACTTTTTTTCCTTGACATTTAGCTCTTTAACCTCTCATTCATAGCAATTTTGTCCTTTTAGACGAAAACTCTTCAAAAAGATTTCAACTTCTATTAGGCTTAGATGTTTTCTAGGCTAGACATCCTTTAAACAAGTTTGTTTCAAATCGATTGGGGTCGTTAAGGTCGGTGTTTTGTGGGCTGTGGGTGTGAAGAAGATGGATTTGTTTTTTTCTTTTTCTTTTTTTTTTTTTTTAAAATCTTTTTCATTTTTAGTTTTCTTCAAAATTGTCTTTTGACAAATTTGATGCCAAATTTGGATGGAGATCATGAATGAGGACGAAAATGAAAATGCAGATTGAAAAGTTAAATGGCCGGAAAAAAAAAAACTTGAGGACCAAAGTAAAACCAACGGTAAATGTTGAGGACTGCATAAGCAATTCATCCATTATGTTTCAGCAACCAGGCTAAAATATGTATCCCAAATATCATAAACATTATTCAATATGGCACCAGAACGTAATAAGTGCAAAGAGAAAACAGCCAATCATAAAAATAAACTGAGTCCTTTGAAGCAGATATTTATTATTATTATTATTATTTTTTCCGGGAAAATCGATTTTTTGATGCAAGTTTGTGTGCCCGTAAAGAATGATTTAAAGTTGACTCTAGAGAAATAATGGGATTTTTGACTTTTTAGCATCCATCCCATCGGTAATTTTCATCTCAATGACGAAATTATTCCTAAAATATCAATGTTTACTTCTAAAATGGTCATTCACTCTTTCAAGTCAATGGCAGAAATTGAAATAGCAAAATGTGTTTATAAAATGTTTAAATTATAAATAAAGTCGATACTTGATAGTACTTGTGGGTAGGATGGACCCATACTTTTAGAGCTGTGGGGTCAAAAATTATACACACACATACATATATATGTGTGTGTGTGTGTATATACATATATATACACACATTTTAAAAATGTCATATAATTATATTATTATCAATATTATTAAATAAATTTTGCTATTTGCATAGTTTTGTTTATCAATTTGTTGACAAATGTTGAGCCAATAGTGAGTAAATCTAATTGAATGTGAAATGTAAATAAATTGAAATAAAATCCAAGTTTAATCCAAGAAATAAATGAAATTCAAATTTAAAGCAAATGAAATTCGAAAGTAATTCAAATTACATTTAATCCTTAACGATCCTAAAATTTTTGACATCATATTCCATATAAAATTTTCTAATAAAATGATATAAATGATATTGAAAAATTTATCGTGCAAAAATAATAAATGTTAATTAAATAATTGAATTTTTTTAAAAGAAAAGACGAGTTAGACATCTTTTTTTAAGACGTACATTTGACGCATATATTAACTATTTTCGATGTCCGTTTGGATTATTTAATGTGACGGCGACATAGTTTTCAAAACGAGATTCTACATGATATAGAAGATTTGTGGATTCGGATAGCATAAAATCGTCGCTGAATTTTAAAAGTTAATATATTATCAAAATATTAATTTCAAACGGCCTACTTTGACGTGTTGTAACTTTTGCTATGATTGACCATTTTGAACGCCTTTAGTGATCGAAAAACTAGATAATAAACACTTCGAAATGGAATCAAGAATACAATATTTCGACTTCATTTGACATAAAAAAAAAAAAAAGCAAAAAAATTGTGGGGTCATTTGACCCCACATGACCCATGTGGGACCGCCACGCTTGTGGGTAACTCGAAATGTGTGGATAAAAACTAGTTTGAATGTTTATAGATAGGGTAATTAGTACAAAACATCCTTACCTTTCAATATTATTGTGCAAAACGTCAATTCCTTTTATTTTTGGACACTTTTACCATTATATTCACCTTTTATGGCAAAAATCATCATTTTTATCAAAATTTTCATGTAAAATGACAAATATACCCCATATTTAAATAAAACAATAAAAAAGAAAAGAAAAGTTAAAGAATAATTTGCAATCGTACTCCCAAACTTTTTAAAAAAGAGCAAATGAGTTCAAATAAATTATTAAAAATGTAATTAGCACAAAACGACCCTACCTTTTATTATTGTTGTGCAAAATATCATTGCATTTCATTTTTTGATATTTTCACCATCATTTCATATTTCATTGTAAAAATCGCTATTTTCATCCATTTTTTCAATTCAAAGCTGTAAAATGACAAATATACGCTCATCTTTAAAAAAAATAAAAAAAATAAAGAACAAATTGCAACTATATTTTCAAAATTTTCAAAAAATAGTACAAATAAATTTCAAATAAATAATTAAAAAAGAAAGTGATTTGTAATTTTTTTGAAATATTTTAAAGTATAGTTGTAATTTGTTCTTTATTTTTGTTTATTTTAATAGGAGGATATATTTCTCATTTTACAGCTTTTAATTGAAAAAATGAAAGAAAATCATGATTTTTGCAATGAAATATAAAAATTAGGGTAAAAATGTCAAAAAATGAAAAATATGGATGTTTTGCATAATAATAATGAAATGTAGGGACGTTTTGTGCTAATTACCCTTTCAATAATTTATTTGGATTCATATGTATTTTTTTTTTTAAAGTTTAAGAGTACAATTTCAATTTATTCTTTAACTTTTCTTTTCTTTTTTTATTGTTCTATTTAAATTGTGGGTATATTTGTCATTTTACATAAAAATTTGATAAAAATAATGATTTTCGCAATAAAAAGTGAATGTAAGAGAAAAAAGTCCCAAAAAATGAAAGATATGAATGTTTCACACAATAACATTGAAAAAGGTAATGATGTTTTATGCTAATTACTTTTATAGATAATTTACGAACATTAAACATGACTAAATTATATTGTTGATTTCATTGAATACCGCGCCTTTTTCGACCGCAATTTGCAACGATATTCCTTGACGAAAATTGTTACAGTTAACAATCAAAAATAAGTATGGGAAAAATGGAAAGTTCCAGCTCCGAAGTAAATAAGAAGGAAACATGTTGAGGAACATTTTCCTGTTTTAAATTGAAGCTTATTTTTGAAATCTCAACCCCGTTCAATCCCCAGCTCTCCTCTGTAATACGCCGGAGCATAATTTGGTCACATCCAATAAAGACGAAAACGTTGACTATCCAATAAAGACGAAAACGTAGACCAATTTATAAAGATATGAGTTACTCATCTTATTAAGGTTACCTTTTAAGATGGAATCTCAAATCTTAATATGGTGTTAGAGTCTATCAAGCTTCAATGAATAATTCGATCTGATTAAGACTTAAGAAAATGAGCATATAATTTTCAAAATTGATTTGTTCAAAGAGTGACCATCTGACAAGAGCGTGTTAAAAGGATAAACAATATCCCATATCAAATAAATATGAAAACAAAGACTGACTCATAAAGATTTTGACCACTCCTGATAAGGTTGTTATTTTAATATGGAACTTAAAGTCTACATTAAGAATAAAATTAGTTTTTATAGATTACATTATGAGTAAGCTTAGCTAATTTTGAAATGGAAAAACTCCGTAACTTTCACAAAATAACAAATTCCAATGTGATATACAAAATGAGATGAGTTTCAATCCCCCAAACCCACCTAATTATTCATTCTGCAGACAGTTAAAATTATGTTTCCTCAAGTAAATCAACCAGATCGACTTCTAGTACAAAGCTTAAAAGCATTTCGAGAATGTCACCAAGTCATATTTAGCACTGAACATATCAAGATTCATATCCTTCTATGTTTTATCTATATGCCGAAGTATCCAACTTATAAAGTCAGTTGGACTATAAGAAACTGTATATTCCAAGTAAATATTTCCATTTTGAGAAATCTCGAATCCAATTAACTGATGATAAAATTTGCTAAGACACCGAAATGATTAAAACACAAGGATTTAGTACTCATATATGTTTCATAAGAGACAAGAACCACAAATAGGATAACAATGACTTACAGTTGATCCAGATATTCGTGTTACATATACTGAAATCTGAAGGAATGACAAACCTTTAACATTGACAGTAGCATAGCAAGAATGACAGATGCAATCAGAGAAAATAATACGTAATTTTTTTATGGATAAAGAAACTATAGTGAGAAAAGCAAACAATATATTTGAAACAGGAAGAGATTAGGCAGCTCCCTTCAGTTTCTTGGTGATTGTTGCAATGTGTTTCCCCTGATGGAAAGCTTGCTGTAATTCAAGCTCAGATGGCTGTCTTGAACCATCACCAGCGTAGGTTCCAGCACCATAAGGACTTCCACCTTTTAGTTTCTCCATGTCAAACATGCCGGCTCCAAACGTATATCCAATGGGCACAAAGAGCATTCCATGGTGAACAAGCTGAGTGATAGCAGTTAACCTGCAAAAAATCCAAGATTAATAAAAAAAAAATAATATATTTATTTCGGTTTTTGATTTCAAAATTCCAAGATGACTTCAAGTAGTGTAAAATGATCATCAAGCAGGGATTTACGCTGTAGTTTCTTGCCCGCCACCTTGAGATGCAGTGCTGTAGAAGATGCCAGCAGGTTTTCCAGCAAGCTGCTGTGTTCTCCATAGGCCCCCAGTAGCATCGAAGAATGCTTTGAATTGGGCAGCCATCATGCCAAACCTTGTGGGGAATCCAAATATAAAGCCATCAGCCTCGGCAAGTTCGTTGGGTGTGATAATAGGCACATCACTCTTTGAAGGTGCACTCATCTTTGTGAGCACTTCCTCTGGTAGTGTCTCAGGGACCTATGCCACAGAGAAGATGTCATCAACAGAAAAGTAAGATTTCCTTCGACAGATTTCACCAGGAATCAACGTTGATCAAGAAAATATAGAATAGAAGGGATCTGATGAGTCAAAGACGGAGAAGTGTTATTTCTGAAGCTAAGAAAAAGCAACTAGATTTTTGATGCAATGCTATCAATATTTGTTTCCTTTTTCTTTTCCCAAAAAGGGCTCAAGATATTACTCTTTCTTTTTCTTATTAACAATCCTATCTCGTTTGCTCCCAACTTGGATAAGCTAAAAACATCCCGCAGACTCAAACTGATGTGTAACAACATTCATTGCCTATTACATCAGCACAGTTGCTGAGATTTGAATAAAATATGACTAATAATTGGAGTAAAACGGTTATCCTTCAATGCAATAACTGAAAAACATAAACAATCATTTTTTGAAAAGAGATATTAAATATAACGTGTCATCGAGTAACTGGTTGAGGTTTTCTGCCAAATGACAATGTCAACACTGATAGAATTAGATGACCAGACCAAAAAACTCTAGAGATTCTATTGCAATGACTCAAACTGAACAGCTGAAAAATCATGAAAGGTTTATTATCTAATTAAACCTACAGAGGAATAAAGTTTTCACTGTAGCTTCTAATCAGAGTCTTAAACACGATTTTTTCCAGCCAACCTTTCTCGGTTCTCCGCATAGAAATTAGTATCTTCATTTTGAGACATTTCTGCTAGCTCGTAATTAGAATCAACCCTTTAACCTGACTAATTTATGATGCTGGTAAAAGTTATGCAACTAATCTAAATAATTGGTTTTTTTTGGCACTTGGCACCTATATTTATGACATTGACTCCATCTATCTTTTATTTTATCAGCTCATATATCTTATTGTGCTCTTCAGACTAGTATGGTTGTCAAATTTTTCTTCTATTTTTATTGTATCCTCCCCCATATTTTATTTATTTAGTTTCTCTTTGCTGGTCTTTATTCTGTTACTTTTCCACCTTCCTTTTGGGTTGGGCATTTATATAAACTGGATAACATCGTATCATAGTAAAAAAAAACTAGGCTCCAGTCAACACCGGCCATTTCAGAAAAAATTATCTCTTGCCAGACCTTTATAATAATCACATGATTGGGTCTGCTGAAAACAACATTTAATTAAGTAATGCACTTCTTTTCTAACCACTTAAACTATTAGATGAGATGGTTAACATTTTTCTTCTTAATTTTTTAATTATTCCATGAGATATGGCGAGGATAGGACAGTTCCTACCTGCCATAGTTTGGCTTCAACCCCTTCAACAGATGCAGCCCCTTTCTTTATCTCTTCTGCTAGTTTCTCTACATGTCCATACATGGAATAGTACCTATAAAAAAGCACAGTTAGATCCACGATATCATTCATGTTACAAAAGATGAAAAAAATACAAATATTTTGCTTGATTTTAGTAATATCTCACCCAGGTATGCACAAAATCAACAGATGTACACAATCCCATACTCATTCATCAGGGAAAAAAAATAAAAAATAAAAAATGAAAACTATATATCTTGGATTTCTTAGAGAAACGTTATTTGGAAAAAGAATCATGAGCTTATTATCAGCATGATTTCAGAGCAAATAGATTGTTTTAAATAGTGTAGTACCCTGTGATTGTGCCAATAAGGACCTATGTTCAATCCTCTTAAAGTCAATATTAGATTATCACACAATTTCCCTGAGTAATTCCACGAACAGGTTGATGCATTGTTCAACAACAGGAGATGTGGAAAAGCAAGACAATCATTCCTCAATGAACTTCAAGTTATATTCCTGAAGTTTTAACCTGAGTCTAACGCAAATAGGTTCTTTACCACTTTGGAAATCCTTGGCAACAGACAGTTTTGATAAAAAGGAAGGGGAAAATAATGAAGACAATTTGATGCACCAAGGTGTTCCGGGGAATTAAGAAATAAAGATGAAAATTACACATGTTCCCTTTCATTGATGAACCATGGCTACGAGACCTTTTAGATGTGAACTCAATCGATTGTGATGTGTTGCTCGAATATCAATTACTACATGCAAAAATTCTACAGCAAAGAGCTATCAACTGCTTTATCAAAGTCAAGCTTCTGTAACTTTAATTCAAATAACACCTCTACATCACCTGGTGAGATCCAAATTCATACAAATTGTATAATCGTGTAACTTTTTTCCCACAGAGTAATGCTCAACTATGCTGCTTGGCAGAGCAACTTATATTTTTACAAACATTGATGACTAAAACTGTTATGATCACACAATCATAACATTGATCAATTCGTTTGGGACCTTGGTTGTTCACATTTCTGTTATAATCTCTAGGGAAGCTATTACTGCATCCAAAGGATTTTTCATCAAGCCAAAAGAAATTAAGTTTAATTCTATTTTACCCTCTTTCCTTTGATCAATCAATAACTAACAATCAACTTGGGCACTCACAGGAAAAAGAAGCTTACAGAATCAAGAATCACTAATGAATATTCAACAATAAGCACGAGCATGAAGAAACACTTGATCAGCTACAGATCCGAAATTCACATAGAAAATCAAAAATACCAAAAAACAAAGAGAACCCATAAATTACTCAATTATTTCATCAGCACAAACACAATTCAACGTCAAACTGTAAATCCGATTCAAGAAACCAAATCAAAATATACAAAGAATAAAAATTTGTCAGCGAAACATCTCACTTACACAATGTAAACTTTGATGGCCATTGATTAAGTGCGTTCCTTTTTCTCAAAAGTGGGTAAAAATGCGTTTGAAAAAGTGATAATTGACATTGAGCTTCTGAGCTGGGCTCCCCATTTTATACTAGCGCACGAATTCCCCAGATTGGTTAAGTTTCAAACAGTATTCTATATTAATTAATTTAAATCTAAATTGTTTTTGGATTAAAAATACTGAGCAGCTGATATGTGTACCTAGTTAATGATGATTGAGTTGTTGTCACGCTCACGCTCACCGTCAGTCATCATTTTCCTTTAACTAATTTTTTGCATGTTTGACCAAGCCAAAAAAGTTAAAAATAAGTCACTTATCTTTGATTATGTGAAAATAACTTTTTTTTTTCCTTAAATTTAAGTAAAAAGTTATTTTTGAATCGTAACTCTTGTGAAGCCTTTTAGCAATAAATATATTATTTACTATAAAACGGGTAATTTCTTTCATGAGTTTCAAACTTTTTTTAAGTGATGTTAGATTGTTTATAACATTCATATTCCAATCTTTATCAATTATTTTCCCCTGACGGAAAATATTTATTTAGACATTAAATAGCTGTCATCGAACATGTAATAACTAAAAGTAAAATATTCAAAAATAAAAAATTCCTACAATTTACATACTAGCTGATAGTAAAAACAAACAATTTGACAACAATAGAATGAATCAAATTATCACGGTTGTATTCAAATTAAAGTAAGTAATTTGTACAATTATGCGTTTTTAGCTGATGTTACGTGCATGTCGCGAGATCATTTAACATCTAAACGTTTTCTATCAGGTCAAGTTAGATCTCAATACTGCATTCACAATGTTAAATGGATTGAGACACAAGTGTTACAAAAGAAAGGTTGGGAACATATTTGTTGCACTTACGAAAAGTTTAAACTTCCAAATGAATTTACCCTTATAAAGATTTGCCTTTACCTAAGAGTAATTTTACTTAATAATAACCTTGTTAATCTTAACCAAATGTGCTTAAATTTATAAGTTATTTTTTTTTTTAATATCAATGTCAACCTTCTTAGCTATTTATGGTACTTAAAATTAGATCATCCGAACCACGACTAGATTACAACTTTTGTTCCTTATAAGACTAAAAACGAGATTACTCAAACCACAAGAAAACTACAACTTTTATCCCACATTTGAATTGATCTATTATTTCTTTGTTTTCGTCATGTTCGACTTAGAGCATTTCTCTCAATGCTATAAATATTTGCATTCCACATTGAATATTAGTGACTTTATTAGGAGTTATAATGATGATCTATCACTATTGCTCTGAATTAATTCCTTCTGATTTCAGTTTACACTAGCATTTTTTAGGGATCTAATCTGAACAAAATTACTAGGTTAGAAATTATATTGTCTATTATCTCTTAAAATTCAAGACTGTAATCATGTAATGCTTTGCCTCAAATTTTGGCATTCAAAAAAGGCCCCACCAAGAAAATGATCACAATTTGGCTTTCGTTTCAAGAATCCAACTCCAACCCATCATTTCGGACCCGTTTGGCAAAATTTTCGCTTTCACTTTTGTTTCTTATAGAAAAGCTTTCTGTGGAAGCTATCTTAACTAGAGTCTTCTAAAAGCTCATCTAACTAGAAAATTATTAAAATAGGTCCAATAACAAATATTTTCAACGATATTGGTAAGTAAATGTAGCATGTTATAGACAATAGAGTAGTCAATTGAAGTTTCATGTTTCTACCAAGTTATAATCTCGTTTCATCGAGCTTTTTGAGGGTCCCATGAAATGCGTGGTTACAAATGAATAAAAGTTGTGGATCTAATAAAATATGTGATTAAAAGTAAACTTTGAACAACTTAAAATCTAAAAAAATAAAATAAATAAATAATAATAAATAAAAAAGCTTTACCAAGCAATAGCTAAATTCCTTAACTGATAAGTTAGCAGGAAAAAGTCACAAGATACATATAGCAACTTCCATGCAAAGGGTGCCACACTAGGGTACAGCTCTTGACTTCTTTACATCCCAGGGCCAGGATTTGGCGACCCTTCAACCACAATTTCTTAATGGTTGACAATTCCATTCTCAGAAAGCAAGTCTTCTACAGACAAACTTTCATGTGAACTCAAAGAGAATCACTAATAAACAAGGTAATGCTATTTATATCAACAACTTTTTTATATACATTTACTTTTAAAAAAAGATAATTATATTATATTTTTGATCTAATTAAATTTACCTAAATAATTATATATAAAATGAAATAAAAATATATTGTTCTAAATTCATCCACTAATGTTTATTTTTATAAAATTTTTTAAACCTTTTTATATTCTTTTAGAATTTGTGTTTAACTAAAATTCTAATAATCATTAAACATCAACTTTAACTAAAATCATAAAACTCTAATCATAAAATATCCTCTTCAATGAAAATAAAAAAAAAATTAAAAATAAAAAAATCAATACTTTATTAGAGTTATAATTTTTTCCTGATAGGAAAAATGAAATCTTTATTTTTAAATATTGATTTGATAGATGAAAATATACGAGAAATTTCAAATTAAGTTTCAATATTTATCTAAATATTCTTATATTATAAAAGGAAACAAACTTAAAATTATCAAGTGAAACACAAACAACCAAAATTATGAGTTTATAAGCAAAAAGATTAATTAATATATGATTTAAGGAGGGAGTTGTTTGGTTGTGTGAGCAGTATACTTTTGAGAGAATCTTATGAATTCAAAAAAAGTGATTTGCTAACTTTATTAAAGCATCGATGAGACGATATAAAAAATAAAAAGTAAGAATCAAATTAAATGTTGATAGTGATTGAATGAATATAGTGATTTTTGAAATTGTATTAGGAATATATTTATAGTGTGATGAATATATAAAATTTGTATGGATCGACAATATTTAAATGAATGAATTCAATAAGGACAATATTGAAATTTGATGCAAATGAAAATAGTAATTGTTTAAAATTTTAACATTTTAATAGGAATATATATAAAGTGTGATGCATATATAAAAATTTGTTGATGTAAATAACAGTACTCATAAACAATTGGAAAGACTTAAATAAATTTTCCACACCTTTTGAACTTGTCAACATTACTATTTGCTCCATTGAGATTATTATATTGAAATGAAATGATATTTGGGACAACTTGAGACTGTCGGTAAAATCGACGCGGTCGATACCAATTTTGGACAATCAACTAATCTCACCAGAAAATTTGGAAAGTGACATTCATTAGATGACATTAAAAAAAAAAAATGAAGAAGAAAATAACTACGAAGAAGAACAGATCGTAAAATAATAAAAAATTGAGATATTTATATCCAATTGGAAAGCAATACCACAGAAAGTGCTATAATGTAGGCAAGAGAAGCTTCAAATGCCCACTAACAAATAAAAACAAGAAGAATTGGTCAAGAAAGTAGGGCCTCTAAGATCAAGAAAACAAAAAGATAATGTTATGGAAATCTTTGCTTTGAAATCAACTCTTATCATAAATAAAAATCCAAGCCATCAGAACAAAAGAAATAGTCATTCCTATAATTCTAGCCACATTGACCATATGTTAGCTTATAAAGATAAATTTCATTACTATTTCAATAAATAGCCATGGTTTGTTTTATTATGAGAAAATTGCAGCAACAGTTTCTAACCTTTTTAATTTTTGCAGATTTTACTCTAACCTTCATCATGTACTAGCGATGGTCCTTAATATTTTATAAATATGCACCTGAGGTCTATTTGGACGGAAACCATCTAAAACACCGTCAGTTGACCTGGAATATTCCTTAAACTATCTGCTATTACAACGATTTTATTGGATATTGATACGTTTTTGGACGGTGCTTTGAACGATTTTATTGGATGTTGATTCCTTAATTTTTTTGGTCAGCTGACGATGTTTTGGACATTTTCTGTCCAAATGGACCTCATGTGCATATGTAGGAAAGGTTATGAACTTTCGTTGGCACAAAATAAAGATTAGTGTAAAGTTTGCAAAAAATAAAAATATTAGGAATCGTTGCTGCAATTTTCCCTTTTATTATTTAGCATTTAAAGATGAAATTTCTTGCCATTTTTAAATATTTCCATGGTCTATTTTCCCTGTAATGAGCAATAACAAAACAATAATGTTACGGTGGCAGAATTTTTTTGATATAATAGACGACTGGCACTCACAATTGGTAGGGGCCCACGTTTTTTTTGGACTTTTTTATTCATCTGAGGTCCATGCATTGTGAGAGGATGTTAATCTTTATGTCAACAAAATTTTGGCAAGGTAGGATAATTCATAACAAAATAACACAGAGCACATATACAACCATTGTGTCCAATTTTCAATTACTGTAAACTTTCGAATCCTAAAGTCAATGGAAATTGAAAATTATTACGAATTAGAAATAGATAATTTAGTAAATCTTTACAATGGAGAATGAAAGAGTGTGTTTGATTACATTTATTTTCCATGGAAAATATCAGTTTTTCATCCAAATTTTCACTTGGGGTATTTGATTGCTATTTTTTTCCATGAAAAACATTTTCCAACTTTTGAAAATATGCCTAATTTTCCTTTTTTTTAAGGAAAATATTTTCCTTGGGTGGAGGTGGTTTTTATTTTCCACAAAAGATGGAAAATATATCAATCAAACACACTCTTACTGTATACTATCGAATCCTAAAGTCAATGGAAATTGAAAATTATTACGAATTAGAAATAGATAATTTAGTAAATCTTTACAATGGAGAATGAAAATCTTGAAATGAAATCCCTAAGATTGAAAAGCCTCTTCCAATAAAAGGTAAGACTGCTCCATCAACTCAGGGCTCAATCTAAACATCAGGACACAAAATTCCATCTGATTGAGAGCCCCATCTCCATCAAAATCACCTTCATTTAACATATTATGAAGATCATCATCCGACATATCTTTTAGCCCCAGCAAGGCAGAATTCTTCTTAAGACTCTCAAATGTGATGACCCCTTTATCAGAATCCATCAAGACTTGAAACCCATTACAAAGTTCTCCTATCAGACCATCCCCACCAAGTTTTTCTGCCATCAGGGGCAAGAAATCTTGGAAATTGGACTGGTTTTTTGATGCCATAAAGATGGGATTCTTGAAGTGAAAGTATCCTTTTTCTGTAAGAAATGAAATTGTGTTCTGATGGTTTAAGGGTGGAAGAATTACGTAATATATAAAGGAAGAAAGGACGGTGAAGAGGGATTTCTGAGAAGGAGAGGGGACCATTCAGGAAACAGCATTGTTGACAACTAAGGAACAGATTTTCGTTGTCGACACAAAACGCGAAGAAAAGGCCTTAACTCGTGTCCTTTTGCGGTTAACTTTTTTTTCGATAAAGAAGAAATTGCACCACAGCTTCTAGAAAGCGTGGGAGACTTCAGGGCGGCAGTCTTGTTTTGGAAGGGCAGAATCGTCTTTTCATTAGTGGAGACCAGTAACAAAAATGAGAGAAGCTCGAGTACGAAGGTCTTGAGTCTCTCATTGATTTTTCACTCGAATCACTGACATATGATCGTTTGTTTCATAGTTTAATTAATCATTAATGGCGAAAATTATTTTTTATAATTGATGGTGGTTAAAATCATCAAGTTATGTATTGTTAATATTTGTAAGTTAGAACGGAAAATGCTAAAAAAACAGGAGGACAGATAGCCCCTTGATTGAGCCCGACAATAGGTGGGGGGAGGGTCCCATTTTCTCGTGCGGGATCTTCCTATTTGTGAGGTTTCAATCAGGGAGGCTAACTTTTCTTAGCATTTTCCATTTAAAACATCTCTAATGGTGATGTAAAATAAAAATATAAAGTGACAAAAATCTCTCTAATGTAGAGATGCAAAGGAGACGCAAATTGCATTTTCCAATAGAAAATATAAAAAGGATGCAAACTTACATTTTATTTTACATCCATGAGAGATAAAAAGTGGATTTAAATCTGTATTATTAGAATCGAATTTGAATTTACATCCACCAAACTATAAATGAGGATGCAAAAGTAATTTTCAATATCAATTTATACTCAATTTTACATCACCATTGAAGATGCTCTCATAATGAATCTATCCACGATCAATTCATTTTCTTCCTTGTAAGAAACTTGCAAATACACGTGGGTTAGTGTTCATGGTTGTCAAAAAGAAGAGTGCCAGCTAAGCCCCTATTTCTCAAAACAAATTTTGTAATAATTTTTTTTTATTTAAGAATCTATTGTTAAAAGTAGGAATTTTTTTTTGAATTTACGTACAAACTGATCTTATTGAAAAAATACATGATTAAAAATGAATTTGAGGAAAAAATAAATTATTAAAACTAGGGCTCAAATAGGGCTAAGTATTTATTAATGACTTAAATTATAAGTAGATAGAAACGAATAATAAATAAGTAATACTACTTGTGAATCCCTCAAAATGTACAGACAAAAATTGATTTTTCGCATTTATAAATAGTCTTACAAACATGAAGTAAAGATAGACTAATTCTACTTAGATAGTAAAGTCAATAAAAGGTATACATAAAAGAGAAGAATAAGGGCTCATAAAAGTAATATTTAATAGATAGAGAAGTAGTTCTTGTATTTTGAAGTAGAATGACTTGTATTTCCAAGAAGAGAGAATTCTCCCTCAAATATGGAACTTTAACCTCTCATTGCCCTAGAATGAGACCTATCTAGCTCCAAAGGATCGAAGCAGTATGCTTTTATTCCTGCTATATAGTTCCACTGTAGAAGCACACAAATCAGCGTTGAATTTAACAGCGCTTTTGACCATGTCCATTCAGGATTTATAAAATGAATTACATAATATTATATAATACTCTACCAATTGTTAGTTTAGAATAAACTCAATTTTTTCATCCAATTTTTTCCCTCCACGTCATATTATGTAATTCAGTATGTACAATTTTTTTTGTACAATTAACAAAATCCATCCATCAATAGAGACATCGACGACAAATAAATGAAATGTTTAAGATAACATTGCTGATAAAGGAAGATTGACAAAAAATATGCAGAGTAGTGTGTCTCTAGAGTCAATAGTGTTTAACACCTAGATGACAATACACAATATGTCCAATTACATGAGATCTATATCCTTATTTTTAATTCGATTTATCAAATGTCACACACGTGCAAAGGGTGCAGACGGCGGCTACATTTTTCTCTATCCAATAATAATATTTCTGGCTTTCTTAGTAGTATCTGTTCCTATTTTCTGATTCTATGATTTTTGGTCTATACAGACGTTAGATCTAATAAGAAAAAATATTAACATGGTCCCAGTCAATGTTATAACTCACTGTCAAACTTGGAATAATTTTAGGACTCTGAAATCGAGATATTGTCAACCATGTGGATGGTTAGAAATATTGTTGCTTTTCATTTGAATCCTCTGTACTGAATGCAGAAGTCCCAAAGTCAAAGGGAAAACAAAGAGAGGAACCATGGAGAAATCAATTAAAGATATAGGTCCGGTTGGTACCCTTTTTTTAAAAATGTATTTTTCTTCCTTTTTTTCAACCACACATTCTTTATTAAAATAATATTACACGTAAATAAAAAATTTTTCCTTATTTTTCAACCACATATTTCCCTTCAATTTACTATTCATAAATACATTTTTACATAAAAATATTTCCTAAACACCCTCATAGCCTTTTTTCTTCTTTGTTGGAATATAGTAGTGTTAATGAAACCGAATTATCACATGCCGTATGTATAGTTTAAACACCAATTTTAAGTATACCATATTTGTAGGTAGCTTACCATATATACAACTTACCGTATTTGTAAGTAACTTACCGTATTTGCAGTTTACCGTATATGTTGTCTACTATATTTGCAGAAAGCTTACCGTATATGGCAGCTCACTGTATTTTATAGCGAAACTCACTGTATTTGCACAGAATTTGCATAAAGTGTTTTTATTCATACACTAACTAAAATAACACAAATTTTTGTATTTATAAATAGAAAAACTGTATATGTGAAATCTATTTTCACACATATAACGAATTAGGAAAAAAAAGTTTATCTTATTTATTTATTTCTAATATAAATTTAACAAACAATATATGAGTCAATGTTGCAAACGTGTAAAACCCTAAAAAATAAATGTGCAAAAATGAAATGCAAACTAAATAAATAACGAATAAATTTTTAACTCGAGACCTGTGCAAATATAGTTTCTTTAAAACAGATTCGCCCCCTCACCATAAGTGCTAGAAATTTAATCTGAGCGTCTGTTTTCCATGATACAACGGCAGAACCCATAGAATCTGAACACCATAGAAATTACTTCGACAAACCAATACAGTGTCTCAACAATATCACAACGACCTTACTGGACAGATATGCGTATGCAAGAAATTAAGACCTTACTGGACAAAGACACTGACAGAAAATGTTTCTCAAGATACAACGACAAAACCCGTAGAATATGAGCACCACAGAAACTACTCTGAAAAACTAATACAGTGTCTGAATAATATCACAACGACCTTATTGGACAAATATGCGTATGCAAGAAATCAAGACCTTACTGGATAAAGACACAGACAGAAAATGCAGGGGGGATTTTTTCTGAACAGTGAGGAAGAAAACGTTTTTCTTTTTCATTTGTGTAAATTACTGGAAACTTGAGATTTAATATAACATAAATTTGCCATCAACTCTATAACAATTAAAATTGAAGTCACTTCAATTTCTGAGAGTTTTGAAAGTTTCAAAACTTCAAAAGTCAGGTTGAGAAAGCAATAAAAAAATTGCAAAACGTGGGCTCTTCGAAGGAGCCAATTTTTGCTTCGTTCGGTCCGACATTGCGCCTGCATACAAGTTCAAGGTCCGAAGGTATTTCAGTCCGAGATTTGCACCCCCTGCGCGCGCACGTAGAGAGAGCCGCTATGCTATATATAATTACACTCTTCCAATATACAACCATATTTAAAGTGGTTCTTGCTTTCTTCCTCTTCCTACGTGGGACAAAAGCATTTTTCCACATAAAATCATCTTCCAATGGTCAACTTTGAGCTCCAATTTCTCATTCATCCGAGCTTCATTTTTGGCAAGTAAATATATGCTTTTGATGCTCACACGGAAGAGAACACGAATCAACTTTGATCTTCCAAATTAGACCAATGGGTCTCACAGAAAATCTTGCCAAAAATGAGCTATCACTCATTTTTCCAACATTCTTCTCCTCCTATCATTCTTGTTGTCCATCCTAAAGAATTCAATTGCAACTGATATCATCAATACATGTGAGATCCTTAGAGATGGCAGTACCTTGATTTCTTCAAGGGGAACATTTGAACTGGGATTTTTTAGCCCAAGTATCTCCAAGAATCGGTATGTGGGACTTTGGTACAAGAAGGTACCTAATAGCCAAGTGCTTTGGGCACTCAACAGACAAATTCCGATAAGAAGTACATCAGGCATTTTAAAGGTCATTAAGCCAGGCCAGTTGGTTCTTCTAAATGACACTTACAATGTCGTATGGTCTTCAAATATGTCAAGAATTGCTCAGATTCCAATTCTGCAATTGTTGGAGACAGGAAATCTTGTCATTAAAGAAGCAAATGATGATAATTCAGAGAATTTCCTTTGGCAGAGTTTCGATGATTTAACTGATACGTATCTTCCAGGCGCGAACTTTGGTTGGAACTGTGCAACAGGTGTAGATATCTCCGTCATTGTGGAAGAGCAATGATGATCCAGCCCCAGGGGAAGTTACATTTTACTTGGATCCGACTGGATATCCACAAGCCTTCATGAAAAGAGGTGCAGTTACTATATGTAGAATGGGACCTTGGAATGGTCTTGGCTTCAGTGGGGCATCAAAAGTGGGTCCAACATTCAGACACAGATTATTCATAAACAATAGCACTGCATACTATAGAGAAGACTCCATTGACAAATCAATTATTTCAAGGGTTACCTTGAATCAGAGTGGTGTTATACAACGCTGGGTATCGGTTGATCACACCAGAGGTTGGGTCGTCTATGGAACTTTACCGACAGATAATTGTGACACTTACAATTTGTGTGGTGCTTATGGTACTTGCTATTGGGAATTCTCCAGCCTGTGGATGTCTACGTAGATTTGTACCAACAGATCCACAAGGTTGGATTAAGGGAGATTGGTCAAATGGGTGCATTAGAAGGACTCTCCTGAATTGTCAAAAAGGTGATGTATTTTTAAAGTATTCTAGCATAAAATTCCCAGACTCACATAATTCCACGTTTAACGAGAATATGACACTTGAAGAATGCAAAGTGGAGTGTTCAAAAAATTGTTCTTGTATGGCATATGCACAATTAAATATCAGCCATGGGAGTGGATGCATGTTTTGGTTTCAAGACTTGATTGACATTAGAGATAAGTCTTCAGACGGACAAGATATTTACATTAGCATGGTTTCTTCTGAGTTGGGTAAGACATTATTATACAAGAAATAATGCCCATGATAAAACTTTAGATTTTTAAAGTTGTATTAAAAGAAAGTGTGAAAATGAACATAACGAAGAAAAATGAGGCGAATTAGTGACTCATTTTAGATTAAGTTTGTTGCAGATTCCAAAGGAAAGAAAAAAACACTCATAGCAACTTTGACATCAGTCATGCGAGTCGTTCTGCTAGGCCTAAGCTTGATGCTGTACTTTTGGAAGAGGTTCACGAGGAAGAAGAATGACCCAAAAAGGAGAACAAGTGGTAAGTATTGAGATAAATTTGTAATTTGTACAGGGTCACTTTTGTCTTTGTCTTTTTGTACACTTTAGTTACTGCACTGTCTATAAATACCCAATGTATCATGCCATTTTCATTTACTGGGAATACAGAATTTTCCTGCCTTTTTTACTGTCTTCTTCAGCTCTCCTATTGCAAAATTCTCATGGTATCAGAGCAGTGAAGTTTCTTTTGGCGATGGCAAGAGAGTTTAATCAACAAGTAGAGGTTCAACATCAGCCAGCTCACGCTGATCCGGCAGTCGATCCTTGTGTTGCAGATGCGAGTGTTGGAGACGCAAATACTACTGTTAATCGATCGATACATGATCCTAACAGTCCTTATTATCTCCACTATGGCGACAATACAGGTATGCAGCTCATATCTATCATGTTGTCTGAGGATAATTACACCACATGGAGTCGTGCAGTTATCATAGCTCTCAGTGTCAAAAATAAGGAAGGTTTTATTAATGGATCCATTGCTAAACCTGCTGAGAATGATCTGATTTATGGTGCTTGGAGGCAATGCAATCATGTAGTTTCTTCCTGGATCATAAATTCCATTCCAAAGGAACTTTATCCAAGTGTAATGCATAAGGATTCAGCTCGGCAGATTTGGATCGAACTAAAGGATCGCTACAGCCAAGGAAATGGATCTCGAATTTATGAGATAAAGAAGCAAATTGCTTCAATTTCTCAGGACAATAACTCCATCAATTCTTACTTCAATCGGTTTAAAGGTCTATGGGAAGAATTAGACAATTATAGGCCGGAAGTAAGTAGTGCAAACTACAAAGCTGAAGATCAAGTTATGCAATTCCTAATGGGTCTAGATGATCGATTTTCCAGTGTGAGAAGCCAAATTTTATTAATGGATCCACTACCTTCACTGAACAAGGTGTTTGCCTTGGTCTTACAAGATGAAAGGCAGAAAGGAATTGTTGCTAAGAAACAACAGAGTTTTGATGTAGCAGCTTTTGCCAACAAGATTGTGTCTAGTCCATATGGAAATCAGAGACACAATGTATCCAATCAAACTCAAAGGAAAGGAATGCCTATATGTACTTATTATGGAATGTTAGGCCATCTCAGAGGGAAATGTTACAAATTGATTGGATATCCCCCTGGACATAGGCTTGCCAAAGGAAATCTTCAGTTGCTAATGCTGTAGGTCAGGCTTCCCAGGCAAATAATTCAAAGCTGATTAATTCTTTGTCCAACCTCACTATTACACCAATCCAACGCCAGCAGATTATGACCATGCTTGCTCCACAGCTGCAAGGTCAACAACCTCAGGAGGTTATGTCTTCTTCTACCCATGCACCTGATGCCTTCGCATTTTTAGGTAATCGTGCATGCTATCTAAATCCAGGTAAATGGATCATTGATACCAGGGCTTCAGAACATATGGTGTGTTCCATTAATCAATTGACTGCTGTGACTAGTAAAACTAAAGGTTCAGTAAGATTACCAAATGGGGATATTGCACAAGTTACACACATTGGTATTGTGAAGCTATCTGATACATTAACCTTAACTGATGTATTGGTTGTGCCAAGCTTCAACTTCAATCTGATTTCTGCCAGCAATCTTGTTATCAAGCATAAATGTTTGTTGTTATTCTTACATCACTTTTGCTTTATTCAGGATCTTTTCACCTGGAAGACGATTGGGGTAGGGAAACTTGAAGATGGTTTATATCATTTTCAATGTTCTGATAATCAACTCAATGGGCAATTTTCTTCCACTTCTCAAAGTATTCCAACAAAGTCTATCTTTCCTGTTCTCAACAATGTAGCTTTCTTCAGTGATGTACAAGTTCCTACTCCACATCTTGATTGTAATAATTTTGATCCTGCTGTATGTAATTTTCCATGTAAAAAGGATATTCATACTGACATTGATATATGACATTGTCGAATGGGACATATTCCTACTTCCAAACTATCACTGTTGCATAAAATTGTTTGTACAATTACCTTTGATCAACATTTGCATTGCACCATTTGTCCTATAGCAAAACAACATAGGCTACCTTTTCCTAAAAGTGACACCAGAAGTTCGAACATATTTGATCTCATACATTGTGACATCTGGGGACCACATTCTATTCCCGCCTTAGATGGTTCGAAATATTTCTTGACCATTGTTGATGATTATAGCCGGATGACATGGACATATCTTATGAAAGAAAAATCTCAAACTAGGTCCATCATCCAATCATTTTATAATCTGATCCAAACACATTTCCAGAACTAATTCTTTTAGGTTAATAAATATCAGTTCTGGAGTGTTTCTAAACTTTAGAAACGGAGCCAAACACCTTCAATGACATTTAGAATCTCGACTGTGGCAAAACATCGAGCAGGTAGTTAACAACCTTAGGATATTGAAACAAAAAACTGAATATGGATCCATTATCCATAACAAATACTAGAGTAATTCAAGGATAATTACCAGGAATAATTCTCGTCAAATACGTCAACTTTGATAAGTTTAGTAACTTTTGCCTTTACCATTCGACGAGTCCCTTTCCTTTTGGGTATGGCTTCATCATTCTTTTTTGCGGCGTCCACTAACTCAAAACATAATTTGGAAGTATGTTTTGACATTGATGTTTCTGGAATGTCGAATAATCAACGAATGACAAGTCATTTTCCTGATGTCGTGAGCCAATTTATTTGACCATTTGGATGGTCGTACAATCAAGTTTTTTATTTTTTATTTATTTTTATTTGAGTCTTGTCCAAATCTACCAAATCTTCAATGCTCGCAACGGTGAGAATGGTGAGATAGTAGCACATATTATGTAAAATAAAAAAAAAAAAAAGGTTGAACCCCAACCTTAAGGGTCCCACCGACCCTGTCCTATGTCATCGTGGAGGAGGTAAATCGCAGGATGTGCCTCCCAAGAGTCAGGGTGGAGAGCATATGGATAGGCCAAGGCTGTTAACCCATATGATAACTCCCGCTTACAACAAAGTCAATTCCACCTTGTGGGGAATCGAATTCTGCACACTGCCGTTCTGAGCCCTATCCGCCCTCCCCTTTGTCACTGGGAGATATGTCCTGGGGGCTTATGTAAAATAAATATAAGTAAAGGATGTCCATGCCAAGAAAAAACATTTCGGGACCAAAATCACAAATATGCCATATGTTAGGGACCATTAGCTTCAATTTCCATAATATTTTGGGGATTATTTAGCGTTTGGGATTTCTAGTTTTGAGAAATTTATTTTATTTGAATTTCTTTAATTTAATAATTACCAACTAAATTTTCCTTGTGCATTGACATCCTAATTTTAAATCCTGGCCAGTTTAAATTTTGATTGGTTTCATTCCTCAAGGGGCTGTGTGAAATTGCTTTCTTTTTGTCGTAATCTTGTTCCAAATGTTACAACTCATCGATCTTGACAGACATCGTCTAATTTTTACATTTATAAGATCAAATAGCAAATTGAAAAAGATTAAGTCCATGTTTGATAGTGGTTGAAATTTTAATTTTAATTTAAGTAGAAGTAAAGACGTAATTTAACAACAAATGTATGAGACGCACACTTTTTAACTATACATTTTATCAACTTTTATCAAATTCTACTGAAAATCAAATTTCAATCCCTAACAAATAGGATCTAAATGAGACCAAAAATCAATTTTTTTTAATTAATAAATGATGGTCGAATTGACACCACCATTTTTTATTTGTTACACAATATTTTATTTAAAATTAAGCTTCTCAATTTTTGTTCGTTGTACTATTATTTTCTTAATTATTTTCGTTGAATTTTTATCCTCAACCTTCTATTAATTAGTACATCTCGCTCTTGATGATAATTTATATAAAAATATATTGTTTTCATGTTTTGAAGTGAGGGAAAAATATTTTTTTTCGTACTTTTAATTTTTTTAAAATATGATATATTGTTCTAATTAATAAAAAGTTTGAGTATAAGAATACCATAAAAATATATTAGGGATATAAATGTTATAATAAATAAAGATTGAAAACCTTAAAGTGTAACTAAAATAAAGTACAAAAAATAAAAATGTTGTGTAAATATAATATAATTATACTAAAAGACGCGCCTAGAAAATAACCCGTCAATCAGCCTATTTAATTGATCTTTATATTGTCATTATGTTCTTGAAAGGTTAGGTTTCCTTTAATATAAAAAAATTAGTTCAGTGATTATTAAATTCATTGTTAATTAAAAATTTTCAACAATCTTGAACTCGAGCACGTCAAGTAAACAAGCCGTGTAATATTTGAAGACTGTCCGTTGCATAGGAGGCTATGAGCTCCTGTAGAAGAGTAGAATTCCAAATGGATGGACCTACAATAAAGAAATTTCACGCTATAAAGAACACAAAATCAGGACAAAAGATGAGATGAATCATGAAGAAATCAGTTAAAGATACATCTTTTCTTTTTCTTCTTCTTCTTCTTCTGGCATTCTTACTGTCCATTACTGCAAATGATATCCTAAACACAACTCACATACTCAGAGATGGTGACACTCTAGTTTCATCAGAGGGGACATTTGCACTGGGATTTTTCAGCCCTGGTAACTCCGATAATCGATATGTGGGAATTTGGTATAACAAGATACCTGTTTTTACTGTAGTTTGGGTTGCCAACAGAGAAATTCCATTAAAGAATACATCAGGAGTGTTGAAAGTCATCGAGCCAGGACTTCTGGTTCTTTTCGACAATACTGGTAACATCATATGGTCGACTAAAGCGTCAAGGTCAAGTCAGATTCCAGTAGCCCAGTTGTTGGATTCTGGAAATCTCGTCGTTAAAGACTCAGACGATGACAGGCCGGAGAATTATCTGTGGCAGAGTTTTGAGTATCCAACTGATACATATTTACCAGGTATGAAGTTTGGCTGGAACTTTGTGACTGGCAGAGAGACTAATTTCTCATCATGGAAGACGGACGAAAATCCGGCTCCAGGAGACTACGAATTTCGGGTGGACCCTAATGGATATCCACAGTTATTGATCATAAGAAAAGGTACAATTGTGCAGCATAGAGTTGGACCATGGAACGGTGTTCGCTTCAGTGGAACACCAAATCCCGGACCAGATCCCTCATACAGGTTCGGATTATTCATGAACAAGAACGAAGTGTACTTTTGGGAAAACCCCATTAGTAGATCCCTTATTTCAAGGTACAGATTGAGTCCAAATGGACTTGGACAGCGCTGGACGTGGGTTGATAAAAATCAAGACTGGATAAGTTATTCTTCCATACCACTAGATAACTGCGATACTTATAAATTGTGCGGTGCTTATGGTAGTTGCGATGTTGGAAATTCTCCTGTATGTGGATGTCTCAGTAGATTTGTGCCTAGAGATCCAGAAGATTGGTCGAAGGGGTGCATTAGAAGAGATCCCTTGAACTGCCAAAAGGGTGATATATTTTTGAAGTATTCTGGTATAAAAATGCCTGACACACGAAAATCTTGGTTTAACAAGAGTATGACGCTTGAAGAATGCAAGTTAGCGTGCTTGAGGAATTGCTCTTGTACAGCTTATACAAACTTAGATATAAGAAGAGGAGGAAGTGGATGCTTGCTTTGGTTTGGAGACTTGATCGACATCAGACGTCTCTATGTAGAAGACCAAGTTATTTATATTAGAATGGCTGCTTCTGAGTTGGGTAAGAATTCATGATAAATAAATGTTGATTATCTAGAAAATTTCTCAAAAAGTTGTATATAGTTTATTTGATTAGGCTAGCTAAAACTTGACACTGAAAATAAAGAAAAAGGAGAATGATCTTAATCTGCACATGCCATAAAATGTTACAGACGGAGAAGAAAGGAGAGGAGTAATACTTATATGGAGTTTGTCAGCATCAATGGGAATAATAGTTCTGCTTGGCCTGAGCTGGATTCTACACATTCGAAAGACGAAAAAGAAAAAGCGGAAGCTAAAAAATGGAGGTAATTGACAAACACATTCTGCAGGGAGACTGTTTCTTTATTCAACATCTATTAGTTAAATTACAGACTCCATGTTGCTCATATCGCAGAAAGGTATATCGAACTTCACAATGAGGAGTTGGAGCTGCCCTCATTTGACTTCTCGACAATATCCAAAGCTACCAACAACTTTGCAATCGACAACAAGCTTGGAGAGGGTGGATTTGGACCTGTTTATAAGGTATAAATGTGCTGCACAGCATCATTTAGATAGCTAAAAGTAATTATGGCCACTTAGGCTTAATGCTATCCCATACTTAAAAATCAATTCTAAATCTTCGTGATTTTTGCTCATCTAAACCGGTCAATAAGTGCAGGTCTTTTAGAGGAAAATACTATAAAGAGAGTAATTTTGCAGGAAGGATCATATTTTGTGTCTTCTGCTAATTAAGTTTCATGTTTATGTCCAACTCTTAGTTGGGTTCTGGCAAATACTTCGGGATAAAAAAGGTCAATTATTTATATCTTCGGGCTGAACTAAAAAGAAGTAATTCCCTTTCGAGGAAGCTTCATAAAAGTTTCCCTGAGAAACATTGTTCTCTGATGAATCCCCTGAATACACATAAAGATGTAGATTTTACACTAAACAACACGTTAAAAGAGATATCACTTAATTTCTTTTAAGCGTATGAATACCTTAAGTATTCACATGTTCTGTTGTTAGGGCATACTGGAAGATGGACAAGAAGTTGCTGTAAAACGGTTATCAAAAACTTCCGAGCAAGGAATTGATGAATTCAAGAATGAGGTGGTATGCATTTCCAAACTGCAGCATCGAAATCTTGTGAAGCTTCTTGGATGCTGCATTGAAAAAGAGAAAAAGATGTTGGTTTATGAATACATGCCCAACAAAAGCCTGGACTTCATTCTATTTGGTGAGGATTTCTTACTGCAATACAGTTACCTCAAAATATGCATTTGTATTACCGGTACTTATGTGGAATGCCATAATAATGGCGCTAGGATTTGTTTCGACATTATTTAGGTCATAGTGACCACTGACCAGAATCTCAATATGGAGAGAACAGAAGATCAATGCTGGTAGCAAGCGGAATTCTCTGTTTTAATTGTATAAATACTGGAATTTTTATTCTTTGTGACAGGCATGACTTCTTATTATAGTTAGCCAGATGATGTAGACTAATCTTAACTTTGAAACTAATACTATTTAATTCAAGCATCCAAAAGTGGTAAAATATGTTGATAAGATAAAAACTTTTGGCAGATGAAACAAAAAGTAGGTTACTTGATTGGCCCAAGCGCTTCAATATTATCAATGGCATTGCCAGGGGTCTAATGTATCTTCATCAAGATTCTCGGATGAGAATTATCCATAGAGACCTCAAAGCAAGCAACATATTGCTAGATGCTGACATGAACCCGAGGATATCAGATTTTGGTATGGCTAGAAGTTTTGGAGGAGATGAGACTGGAGCCAAGACTCGCCGGATTGTGGGAACATAGTAAGAATCTCTATATGGCAGTGTATCTAATATGTTTCAATTGTTTTATGACATTATTTTCTGGTTAACACTTATGCAGTGGCTACATGTCACCAGAATATGTATTGGGCGGCGCGTTCTCGATAAAATCAGATGTATACAGTTTCGGTGTATTAGTGTTAGAAATTGTCAGTGGAAAGAGGAATTGGGGATTTTCTCATAGTGATCACCACCTCAACCTTCTTGGACATGTAAACGTTTTGTCTTATGAGAAATTACTAACATTAATATTTGTAGAAATTATGTCATCTTAGCCTTATCCAAATTTATACAGGCATGGATACTTCACAAAGAAGGAAGGTCACTAGAACTAGCTGATACTTCTCAAGCTAATCCACATTACTTAAAAGAAGTGCTACGGTCAATCCATGTTGGTCTGTTATGCGTGCAACAATATCCGGGAGATAGGCCTAGCATGTCTACAGCAATTTTCATGTTGGAAAAAGAAGTTGTGCTCCCGAACCCTAAACGGCCTGGTTTTTTCACAGAAAGAGATTTAGTTATTGCTGAGAGTTCAACCAGCACAAATGCAGCCAACTCATTAAACGAAGTGACAATTACGCTGCTTGATGCCAGATAGAAATTGAGCTATATTACATTATTTCTCGATCTTTGTTTCTTGCATTTCACATGTTCTTTTGCTGTACATTTTTACAGTCTCTGCAAATAGTTCTGTACATCATAGTTGTGTCTGTTGGTTTCAGAATTCTGGAATCAGTTTTGTAGTGTCAATGTTTCCAAGTCGACTATTAGGCAGTACAAGTCTGATGATGATGCAAGCGGGCGGGGCAAAGACAGGGCGTGACCCTAGGCATCCGAGGCATATTGACACCTACTTAAGAGGAGCTTCGACACAGTTCAACTCAAAAGTTCAAATATCCATAGAGTTAAATAAATGCCTATTAGCCTATACACAATTACAGTTGATATTTTCATTGAAGTTAAGCTGAAGAGATATATTTTTTTAGCACCATTGATGTTAAAACATTAGTTTAAGTGGCGCTAATGTTGCATTAAATGAGAGGTACATTTAAATGAATTACTTAATTCTACCTTTCGTTGAATCAATTACATTAAGATGTGAAAATGCATCTCATGCTCGGTCAATATGCTATACTGTTTCTGTTGACTGCCTACATATCAATTCTATTAAACAAGAAGTAAAGACAGAGATGCTTAAAAACCTAGAACCATAAAGACATCGAATACAGATTTCCCCTTACCATATTGTCTTAACCTTCTTAATAGACGTCAATATTTCCAGTGCAACGAATACTATAAATACTTCACAGATCCTTAAAGATGGTGAGACAATTGTTTCAACTGATGGAACCTTTGGATTGGGATATTTTTAGCCCTGGAAATTCCAAGATCCATAGGTAGGCATGTGGTACAAATAGATTACAGTTATGACAGTGTGGGTTGCCAACAGAGAAGTTCCACTTACAAATACAGAAGAAGTCTTCAAGATTGTCAAGCCACAACTTATAGTTCTTCAAAACAACTCTAATGGTGTTATCATATGGTCTTCTATTACATCACAACCTGTGAAAACTCCGGTTTCAAAGTTGCTGGACTCAGGACCTTGTCGTGAAAGATAGAAATGATGACGACCTCGAGAATTTCTGAGGGAGAATTAAAAGGGATATCATATATTTATTTTCCAATTTTGTTGCATATTTTAGGAAACATAATTAGGGCTTAATTTAATTACTTTTATTATATATTTCCTATTTATGATGGACTTATTAAATCCCTACATAAAGGGGTCTTATACTTTATAATAGACCCAGCTTTGATATATGAAATAGACAGATTGTTTTATAGCATCCAACACGAATTTGGTAGCAGAGCTCAATTAGTTCCCATTGACCAATACATTCAAACTTCACCATCAACCGCACATTCGAGCCACAGGTGTTACACTCAGTTGTTTCTGCTAGCCAGTCTGCCATGCTAGTGTTTCGCGCTCCTCATATGAATTTCGTAGTGACTTCTGTGGATGAGTGTTGTTGCTTACTGGAGTTCCTTATCGTTACGTGGTTAAAAGGAAAGATCATCTGCAATGGTTAGTTCAAATATTTGGGATTGATATTCAGTTTCAGTTGTCATTATATAGTTGGTTTCCTTATTTGGCTAAGAAGAAAGATCGTCCTTCTTGGTTAAGAAGTTACAATCTATCTCATTGAAGTTGAGTTCTTTCAACTGGAGAGAAATGACGGGGAATTGAAGGGATATTATTATGTTTAGTTTCCAATTTTGGGTATCTTAGGAGTCTTGTGCTTTTATAATAAAACAAGCTTTGATGTAAAAAATAAACAGTTTTTCTCTCCCCAGTTTCTCTCCTCTCTTCCTCTTCTCTCTTTTCCCCCCATTTCCCCTATTCTCTTCCCTTTTCACTTCTCCTATAGTTCTCGTATTGCATCTTGTGTCAATTTGGTATCAGAGCTTATTCTATTACAAAGTATGAGACTAATTTATATAGGGATTCAGCAATTATACTCTAAATAGAAAATATCTAATAAAAGCTATTAATTAAACCCTAATTATGTTTCGTAAATACTCATCAAAATTGGAAACTAAATATAATAATATCCCTTCTAATTCTCCATCAGTTTCCTCCGAGAGAGTTTTAATTATCTGACTAACACCATGTTCTCAGGAATGAAGTTCAGTTGGAACTTTAGAATTGGTGAAGAAGTGTATCTATCATCATGGAAGAGCCATTATGATCCATCTTCGGGAGATTTCACATATAATTTTGATCCTACTGGTTATACACAACACGTCATGAAAAAAGGTTTGCTGGTGCTATTTAAAAGTGGAACTTGGAATGGACTCCGCTATAGTGGAATGCCAAACTTGAGGGATAATCCCATTTACAAATACGGAGTAGTTATAAACAAAAACGAGGCATACTATTCTTTTGAGCTTCTTAATAGACAAGTATTTCAATATTTACCTTGAGTGAAAGTGGTGTTGGAATGCGTGACATATATTAATCGTACACAAGGGTGGAAGTTTACATTACTGCTTCAAAAGATAATTGTTATGGGTTGTGTGATGCATATGGTAGTTTCAATATTGCGAATTCTCCGATTTGTAGATGTTTGGAAAGATTTTGGATTAAAGATCCAGAAGGATGGGAAAATGAAGATTGGTCAAATGGGTATGTTTGCCAAACTCCCTTGAATTGCCAAAATGGAGACATATTTATCAACTATTTTGGTATTAAATTTTTGGGTAATTGGCGCAAAAGGTCCCTACCTTTTGAGGTTATTGTGGAAAACGTCCATACCTTTCATTTTTTGGCATTTTTGCCCTTATTTCTACCTTTCGTTGCGCTGAAGGTCCTTTTCACTGTTTTGGAACGTAAAATGACCAATATACCCTCATATTTAAATAAAACAATAAAGAAAAATAAAGAACAAATTGCAACAATAGGCCCAAACTTTTTAAAAGTGCAAATCAGTCCAAAAATCTTATTAAACCATTAAAAAAAAAACTATCTCCTCTCCCCTCCACCTCCTATAATCCCCAAAAACCCATACATTCAAACTTTATGAACCATTAATCCCCAGAAATCACAATTGACGTCCAACTCCAATAATTCCTACAAACAGCAAAAACAACACAAAAATCTGAAAATCATTTCTACACATAACAATTCCATAAGTTTTCTGCAATTTTAAACAATGCTTAAGGAAAAATTAATTCTTGTGGCTTTGTGTGTGTGTTTTTATTTTTTTTTTTTATTTTTATTTTTTTTTTGAATTCACAATCCATGTGCTAAGAAATATCTATCATCCATAAAGATCAAATAACATTGTCTATGGAAATATGCATTGAATAAGTTCACGCATAGAAAAGAGGGGTTTTTTCAACTATCTCAAAATGGAATTATCCAAGTCTATGCTATGATTCCATACTTTGTAAGGGTAGAAACATCAATATTTAATATGTTTAGTTTCCTTTTCAGACCTATTAATCTTGAGCAAGAACTAAAGGAGTACTTGGGTCGCCGTACAGCACTCGAGGATCGGAAATTCTAGTTCCAAAAATCAGGAAACGGATCATTGGAGAATGATTCTGTGAAATCGAGGCTCCGGGCTTGCCAATTTAATCCCAGGTAGCGACTCTAGGATGGTAATGGGTGAGGAATCGCAATTAATTGGGGTCTGCAGGGCGGTTACTAGGCAGAAAGTCTGCCCCAATCTGGATGAGCCAGAGTAATTCTTGTGGCTTTGTTGAGGAAGAGACAAAACCCTAGAAAAATCTGAAACGCAATATAATTCGGATTTTTCGGAGACTTTCATGAATGTGGCTGGAGCTATGTATTTATAGAGTTGGACACAATTAATTACCATTGATTTCATACGATATTACAGTAATACTTGTTTGATTTTTTTTTTCCTTATTTTGAATAACATAAATAATTTGCTTTCAATCATCATCGGAGGTGGAGGGGAGAGAAGAGAGAGAATTTTTTTTTATTTTGTTTTTTTTTTTCATTTTTAATGGTTTAATAAGATTTTTGGGCTGATTTGCACTTTTTAAAAAAGTTTGGGCATATTGTTGCAATTTGTTCTTTATTTTTCTTTTCTTTTCTTTATTGTTTCATTTAAATATGAGGGTATATTGGTCATTTTATGGTTTAAAATAGTGAAAAGGACCTTTAGCGCAACGAAAGGTTGAAATAAGGGCAAAAATGCCAAAAAATGAAAGGTAGGGACTTTTTCCACAATAACCTTGAAAGGTAGGGACGTTTTGCGCCAATTACCCTTAAATTTTTAGACATACAAATATCCTAGTTTAACGAGTGTATGACCCTGAATGAATGCAAGGGAGCATGCCTTAGAAATGGCTCTTGTACAGCTTATTCTAGCTTTGATATATGAAGAGGGGGAACTGGATGCATATTTTGGTTTGGAGACCTAGTTAACACCAAAGAATTATCTGAAGAAGGACAAGATAGTTGCATCAGAATGGCTTCTTGAGAATTAGGTAAGAATTAATAAATAATTTTTTTTCCTACTAGATGATTTGTATTCTTCTCAATCCAAAAGTTTTATCATCAATCAAAAATAAAAGAAAAAAATAGTTCTTGAAGTAAGTTTGTCATTGTCAATAGGAATTTTCTTCTTGACGACAATTGTAGAAACCAAGCTGGTCTATATTCTGCTAAACGGAATCCTTCTTTTGGTTTTTCTCTATCAAGTTACATCCAATTCATCGTTTTTGTTTCAGGCAGGGGGGGTGGACAACTTTATGGACCGTAAAAATGATGAAAGTCACAACAAAGACATAAGCTACCAACGATCAATTTACATATAATAACTAAACCTACAAATAAATTTTTTTTTTCAGTTGATAACAAGCTTGTGATAGAATTTTGGTATGACACGAATTCCTTGTTGAAATAGTTGAAAAGTTCTTTCCATATTGTTATAGAATAAAACATCGGTTCCTCTGCTTATCTCTTTTTTTGTTATTTACTTTAATCTTGTTCTATTGATCATACATATTTCATATTGGGTCGTTAATATTAATTCTTGCAACACCTCCTACAAATGGTATCAAAGCTAGGCTACAGGTTCATTGTGATTTGATTGTGATTTTTTAGAGATAGCTACATTGAAATATGATATTCCGCTGTTGGATTGAAATATGAGATTTTCATTGTGGCAAGTAAAGATAAGGGTTGTGTTGGCACAGATAGATTTTGACGCTACTTTGCTGGGTTTCGATAAAATGCAAGCAAATTAGACAATAGAGGAGAAACAACGAAAGAACAGGAAGGCTCTATCGTAGATTCATCTTCATCTATCCAATATTATTCTGCAGGATATCTTGAAGGATAAAATGGTGGCTTCTTTGTGGTTAAAACTGGAGCAGTTGTGCATGATTTAAAGTTTTACTAGCAAACTGCATCTAAAGCAAAGGCCATGTTCCTATCCCTAAAAGACCACCCGGCCGTGTTCAAGGAAATCGTCGAAGATTTAGAGATACTGGAGGTTAAGTATGATGAGGAGGATCCTATTGTGTTCGTTCCCA